GACTCAACAGCTGTAGTATTTCATAGTCTAATTCCCTCATAATTTAAAGATTCTCTGTAAGACACTGATCTAAATCATAGAAGCTGAGAGATGTGAAAAATCTGTTAAGTCATCTTGTTCATCTACAGGTTAATGGAGAAATGTTCCCTTGGTGCTCTGTCCAGGAAAGATTTAAGTGTTTCCAGTGACAGAATTACCACCAACATCCGTCAGAAGCTACTGTGTATTTCAGCAGATCATTGTTTGAACGGCTAGCTCCATTTCTACTGTTTTAAGCAGGCTCTTATTTTCCTAGACAATTGTAGGACCTCTCTACACAAGAAAAGCTATATTGATATAACTCTGTCAGTTTTCAGGTCTTATTTTTACCATTATATTTATACAGATATTAGCCCTAATGTGAATGCAGTTAATCCAATATAAATGTATCTTCTAATAGTGTAGCTTATTTCAGTATCTGAACTAGAATAACTATACTAGTATGAGCACTTTATACTGGTATAACTGCATTCATAGTAAGGAATTGTATTGCCACTTTATCTGTAACTGTTACAGATAAAGTGACAAAATATTCATAAGCCATTGGACACAAATTTAAAATAATTATTCGGGGTCTGGAATATAGATTGTATCAGGGCACTAGAAGAAAAGAAGAATCATTTGAAAACTGTTAGAAATTCTTTTATGTCTGTTGAAACCAAAAGAAAAGTTTGATGTTCTTTGCATTGTTTTGAGCATCTCTAATGGAATCTCACTACTGAGAGGAGCCTTAGATTTGGGTGCAACTCAGGAAAAAGAGGCTGTGGGATGGGTAATAGCACTTAGCACTTCCTTGTTTTAGGAGTAGGAGTGTTCAATTCAGAGAATATATTTATTTAATATCGGGAGTGATAATTGCAAAACCTGGCACGATCATTTTCATCTTCAGAGTAGAATCAGTGCCTACTCTTAACTTGTCAGAATGAGGACCCCATTTCATTCCTCCAATCTAAATACAATTTAAGAATTTTCTGAGGCAAATTATAGTTTGGCTATTGGATCACAGTGTTGATGACTGGCTAATACATTGTAATCCACTTCTGACCCTAACCATCCATTAGTGGCAAAACAGCATTCCCATATTTCTCAACACATCATGTTGGCAAATAGATGACCTGCAACAAACAAAGCAATCAAGAAGTAGAATAAGTTGGTGACAACGAGCAGCTCCATGTTTGACTAATGACAGCCATATAGGACAAAACTCATTATGCTGTAATATACACTAAAGTATTTTTCTTATTCATCTTTGCATCTGCAAAGTCCAGACTACAGGCAGTCCCCGAGTTACGCGGATCCGACTAACATTGGATCCGCAGTTACGAACGGGGTTTGCTCCGCGTCTCCCTGGTCTGCTGGAGACCAGCAGACCGGGGAGACGGGGAGCAAAGCCTCTGAGGACGCCGGCAGCGGGACAGCCGTGGCATGTCTGGGCTGTCCGCTGCCCGCGTGCTCCACAGCTTTGGGAGACGCGGAGCAAAGCCGCGGAGGACCCGGGTGGCGGGATCACGGTGCGTCTCGGTCCGCCGCCCACGTCTCTCTGGTCTGCTGCGAGACGCGGAGCAAACCCCATTCGTAACTGCGGATCCGACATAAGTCGGATCCGCATAACTCGGGGACTGCCTGTATTGGACAAAGTGATTTTTCTTCTCTTCCCACCCCATCTTACTTCCTTCAGAGACTGGGGGGTGGAGGGGGCTTGCTAATTGGAGACTTGTAGTGTCAAGTATATCATTTTGACTGCTGACATATTAAGTTAAGATTTATAACACTTGTGGTGAGCCAGCAACACTAACTCAATTTCTTGGTCTCATTATTTGCAATGATCCATAACTCAGTACCCTTGTTGTCCATACATCTATTAACACTGAGATACAATGAGCCTTATCCTCCACCCAAAATTCCTTTTTTTAAATACAGTTAGTGCCCCCAGATGCCAACTCTAAGAAATATTAAGATAGAGATAAAATAATGAAAATATCTGAAGAGTCTGCTGTAATTTTCCCCTCTCCAATCTTTGTATGCCTGAAGCCTCTTGTGCCACTGAAGTATTTACTTCACAAATGTCCTTTTAAGTATCAAACATACTCTACATAAAATACAATGCTTTGTAGAAGCCTGTCACTTGTACTGATAACCTGTTTTACTGGTCCCATAGCTCCCTTTTAAGCTCATAAATCCATAACAGATAAAAGTCCTTAGCTTACACTAGTTGCATTTGATTCTGCAGTATTTTTAACTCTGCCTCGGGCTTCCTGTAGTCAGCCGCTGGTCAGTTTCAGCAGCGGCTGAATCTGGACGCCAGTTCCGACTTACATACAGATTCAACTTAAGAACAAACCTACAGTCCCTATCTTGTACGTAACCCGGGGACTGCCTGTATAGACTTATTCCATATGGTGAACCGTCTGCTGAATCCAGATTGTTTCAGTAACAGATTTCAGTGCATCTCATAATGATAAATTTTAAATTTAGGCTTCTATCCTTCAAAGGGTTTTGCCAGTATAGAACCTTATACCTAGATAATGAGCTTGTCAAGGCATAAGAATCCATGCCAGAGGATACCTTTGGAGGAAAAGGACCTTACTTTGCAGAGAAAATATGTTGGATTCTAACGTTTTTGTGAAAGCAATAGATAAACAGCATGAGACAAAATAATATCTTAACTTTTGAAGTATAGTTTAATTTCATTTTTAGAGATGTACTATACAAAGAGAGATACAAACCATGACTTGTAAGATCTGTGGTTTGTGTCCCTTATGATTGGTAAAAGACAATGGGAAGGATTTAGGTCTGCTGTTGACTAAAAAAATTATACAGGTGTACAATCATCTTTTCAGAAAATGTGTTTATAGCCTAGTTTGCCGAGGAAGTCCTCAGATGAAGTTCTTGGCCTTGATGTTTACAGCCCTTCCTCAAACCTTCCTGTTATGGGAAAGGTTATTGAAAAGATTGTGGCAATGCACCTTTGGGTTCCTTTCACTATCCTGTATTGCTATCTTTCTGGTTTCTGGCCTGTGTATAGTACAAGGACAGAATTAGTGTCTTTATTCAGATTATCTCTTTCTGGTAATGGACAAAGTTCAGGTATAGAGCGAGTCAAGAGAAGGGGAGGGTATAGATTTAATTTTAAAACAGTGCAACCAGCTCTAGTCAGATGTTCATGTTGATTTTATTGGATATGCCTTTCATATACTTGACCATGAGGTGTAGATCTCACAATTACAGGATTTGATAGTTAGTGGCAAATGAAATTTCATTTCTCTGAAAACTTCCACACAGTGTGCAGCGGTGGTCAAAAAGGCAAATAGGATGCTAGGAATTATTAAGAAAGGGATAGAAAATAAGACACAGAATATCTTACTGCCCCTGTATAAAACTATGGTGTGACGTAGTGGGGGGGAACTTGCTGGTTTCTATGGGTCTGTGGTACCCCCACTGGCTGCCGCCAGTACCACAGCCCAGAAGGACAGGGATGGGTCATTATGCAAAGGGATCTCTCAACCGGTCAGACCAGCTAACCCCCATGGAGAGGAATAAAGGAAGGTGGATGCTGCCCTGGCTGGAGGGCAGCGCTGGAGGAGAGTGAGTTAGTTTCTGTCTGGGAGCATGGAGGAAGCAGCCTCAGCAAAGGCTGGGGGGTTTAGAAGCTGAAACCCCTGCCCCATATCAAGGGGGGCTGAGACATCCTAGGCCTGCGCTGTAACCTGATGACATCTGTGCTGTGCTGTATACTGGGGGAGCAATAAACCACCTTTATTCTACTGGCTGGTGGAGTCTGTTCGTGCCATTTCGGGAGTGCAGGAGACGGGGGACCCCCAACGCGCCATCACATATGGTATGCCCACATCTTGAATACTGTGTATAGATGTGGTCTCCTCACCTCAATTAAGATATTTTGGCTTTGGAAAGGGTTCCGAAAAGGGCAACTAAAATGATTAGGGGTTTGGAACGGGTCCCATATGAGGAGAGGTTAAAGCGACTGGGACTTTTCAGTTTAGAAAAGAGGAGACTGAGGGGGGATATGATAGAGGTATATAAAATTATGAGTGGTGTGGAGAGGGCAGATAAAGAAAAGTTATTTATTAGTTCCCTAAATAGAAGAACTAGAGGACACCAAATGAAATTAATGGGTAGCAGGTTTAAAACTAATAAAAGAACGTTCTTCTTCACACAGCGTGTAGTCAACCTGTGGAACTCCTTGCCAGAGAAGGCTGCGAAGGCTAGGACTATAACAGAGTTTAAAGAGAAGCTAGATAATTTCATGAAGTTTAGGTCCATAAAAGGCTATTAGCCAGGGGATAAAATTGGTGTCACTGGCCTCTGTTTGTCAGAGGCTGGAGAAGGATGGCAGCGACACATCACTTGATCATTGTCTTCGGTCCACCCTCTCTGGGGCACTTGGTGCTGGCCACTGTCAGCAGACAGGCTACAAGGCTAGATGGACCTTTGGTCTGACCTAGTACGGCCGTTCTTATGTGGCTCTCAAGGGTGTTGAGAAACTACTCTGTTTGAATGGCTATGGACATAAGTGGGTTATTTATGGATGCTTGGGTGTTACATGGAAGGCTGCTTATACTTTGTATTTAAGCTGCTGTGAACCAAGATGCAATGGTGATACAAATAATACAAATAATTAATAAATAAAATTAAAACTATTTTTGAGAGGATGTCTGGTATACCTGACTCTCTCTAGTATGAGCAGTTTACTCTTCTAATGGGAGTGGTTTGATACTCTTGATTAAAGTTGTCTATTGTCACTAAGGTGTCAGGAGTAGTATATGGTAAAGATATGGTTGTATCGCTAATATTTATTGCATAGTCAAGGAGTAATACAAATCAGTTTGTAGTCTATTCTTAGTATGGTGTTGTGCTTTTTACTTTGGGTACAAGAATAGCTAACATGTCCCAAAGGAGCAACTTCTAAGGAATTGTGATTTTTTTTTTCTTTTTCTTTTTAGTGCTCTTGGAGGCTCCTCTGCCCTTCACATCCCAGCCTTTCCAGGTGGAGGCTGTCTCATTGACTATGTGCCACAAGTGTGCCAGTTACTAACTAACAAGGTGAGTTAATACACAGAACTTATTTTTTCCTTCCTTCATGTGTTCTACTGAGCTTTTAGAAGCACTTTTATGAAACCACTATGGAAACAAAGGATTCTACTTGTTTTACCAGATGATTTAATTAAAACAAACTCAGGCAAGTTAAACCTTATACCTGATCTTGTGAGAGACTGAGCACTTTCATGTCCCACTAAAGTCAGTGGAAGTTGTAGGTATGCAGCATTTTTTGAGTTTTAGAGGAGTTTTCTTACTATTATAAGGAACATTAAAACAAAAATGTCACTGCAACATACTGTTGTTCTGTTGCTAGATAAATAGCAGTGTATAGCCAATTAATGTATATTTCAGTGAAAAGATATCTAACTATCCCTCGATTATTGTAGATTGTGAGCACTTGACAAAAGGTCCTATTACAGTGATATTATCTTAGCTAATTTATTGAATCACTCATTTACATGTTTTCTGATGAATGTTGATATAGTAAGGTAATACCCTCTCACAATTAGAAAGTTGTATTCTGTTTGGCGTAGAGCTTCAGCCAAAGAGGGTTATTTATTTGGTACAGTACTTTGAAAAATTTCTCAGATTATTTAAATGTAGTTATTAACTTAGAATAATAACTTAGGAACAGATATTTAGCAGCCTGTTGCTGTAGAATCGCTATTTGTCTCTTTTTATTTCATTTTTTGTTTTTCTTGTTTAAATGAAGAAATTAAATGATGCATTTTAGAAAAGGATCCTTCAAATGTATTTTCATAAGTATACTTAAATTTATCTTTAGAGAAGTTTTGTTGTGGTTTTTCTGTTAAAACTGCTTTCTGTTTTCAAAATCTCCCAATACACAGAACTGTTTTCATCCTTTTTGAAAACAAGTTACTTATGCAAACTTTTCATCTGTTTTCCTTTTCCCAAAATAACATTTCAGATTTCATACCAAGCTTTCAAACTAAGCACTTTTTTATAAACTGAAATAAGTCCTATTTTATAAATAGCATTATTTTATTTGAGAGGGTATAACATAGCTCTGATAGTATCAAGGTTATTTCAAATAACTGAACATAAGCATTTGACAGCCTAGAAAATCTAATGTTACCATAGCCAGCATAAATAAAGTATATATTTTCCCTACTCTTCTTTCACTCAGCATTAAGGGACTCTAAAACAGTTAGTTTCCCATTATGAAAAGCAATGTAGAATTTGTATATGTGATTATGAATGAACATAAAAATGGTCATTCTGGTTCAGATCAAAGGTCGATGTAGCTCAGTATCCTGTCTTCCAACAGTGGTCAATGCCAGGTCCCCCAGTGGAACTATCCTATACATATAACAAGCTGTGAACTCGAAGCTCTTTCAGCCTACTATCTTTTGTGTTGTTTTCATCATGAGTCAAACCTTGCTTATCGTGCAAGTTACATGATTGGTCCAGTAGAGTTGAATTGGTAAGGCAAGGACTATTCAATGGGCTCAGATCTTCCAACCTATGCACAATGGCCTGGATCCATGCTGGGTTGGAATATTTTCAAGGGAACTCAGGATACCTCAGAATTTGGTGTTGGTTTCTGAGACAGTTTGAAGCCAATAAAATGGTTTACTGTAAAGAAGTACTCTGTTGCTAGAGATGCTGTTTTTCAGATGGCCACACAATTATAGCCCTAAGCTATTTCTTAACAGGATGTTACTCTAGCATCCTGGCCAAATGCTAGTTCAGCCAAAAACATTTTGCCTATCTAAGGTTCTTTCTAGTGTTTCAACTGGATATGATATTCTTCATTTTTTATTGCACAGGGTTAAGTAGTGCTATTGGGGTACTGTTTCACCTACAGCTGAATGAAGAGAGCCCTCTGCACAGTTTATTTGAAAGACATTTTATGATCCTTTAGAATGAAACATGTTATATAAAAGTGATCCTTTAGAATGAAACGTTATATAAAAGTTGGATGCAACACTATTCTGTAAATAGATTTCTCCAATAAAACTAGAAAAATATGAGAAGTTGGGAACCTTTTTTTTCTGTAAAATGTCTTCACAGCCTTGGGATGGTATGGAGTGCTTTTTGTTTGTTTGTTTGTTTGTCTTTTGTTTTGCAGGTACAATATATTATTCAAGGATATCATAAGAGAAGGGAGTATATTGCAGCTTTTCTGAGTCACTTTGGAACGTAAGTCTCCTTTTAATGCATCTTCTCATGTAACATTAGCAAAAACAAATGTATTTCATCTTTCTGATTCACAGTTAGATGTCTTGATTGTTAGTTGAGGCAATGACGTTTTACCTCTCATTATATTGTTCTTCTGAAGCATTCTATATAATCGGGGTGGCCCGTGAGCCTAGGCCAACCAGGCAGTTGCCTAGGGCGCCGCTGGCCTGGGTGCCCGATGATGTCACGGCCATTGACGGCTGTGCAGGCGGGGGCGCTGATCGTGCCTTCCGCCTAGGGCGCCAGCTGCCGCAGCTGGCCTCAGGCCACTCCTGTATATAATCCTATGATAGCAGCTCCTATCAACAGGATCAAATGAAGATAAAGGCAAAATTTGCTGTAGAGGAGAATGTGCTCATTACAGGGCCCTTGACTGTATAGTTAACTTCCACTGGATGAGTCCGCATCTAGCCATCTTCAGAGTAAGATACTCATAGGGCTTCTCATAATAATGGTGCTAGCAAGCACGCCAGCATTATTCCTCCTGAAAACCAATCACCACATTGATTCAACTCGGGAAGTAACCTAAAATGAGGAGAAGATAGTAGTTTTCATTGCTTTGTAAAGACACTGAAGTTTCCTTATTTCTGTATAGAGTGAGTACAGAGATATTACTGTAATATGCACATCACAAAATCAGTGAATGGATGGGTGGCAATAGACTGTAAGGAGTAGAACCTAAGATGGTGTCAAGTGGTACAATGACACATAAGGAGTGAGGCAGTCTAGAATGGATCCAAATCATATAAATCGTTATAGCTCTATCTCAACGGCTTAAATTACACCATCATGCAAATAAGAAGTTAGTATAGACCTTGGAGATTTGTTCTAACTAAAAACATTATTTCTTTTCTGAGAATTATTCAGTCCAATCTGTGCAATATAAAACCTTCAATCTGTACAATGGATTTATAACACAAGTCTTAGAACAAAAAAAGTCCATCTCCAAATGATCAAGTAAACTGAGCTAGCATCCTACTGTGGTTTAAATATGACTGTAAATTCTATAGATCTGATCCAGATAAGATAAAGTTGTTTACCTCTCAGTTGAGAATATTATAAAAAGCACATGATACATGACAAATTAGTATACTGAAATATTGTAGTTTACATGCTATTGTGCTATCATAAACTTAAAGAGACAACCCACTCCTAATGGTTTGGGGATGTAATCCATTGGCAGAAGGGGGAGCAGAGGGGACTGCATAAGCAACTTAAACCAAAATTTAGTTTTTTGTATATTATTTAGGATAATGTAATAAATCTTGACATGACATATATAAACACTATATTAAGAAAATAACAGGAAAAACAGCAACAACAAACAGCATTGCAGTAATTTGACATGCCTGAGTATTTAACAATAAAAGATCATGAAGAATTAAAGATGAAAGTATTAATTCAGCTGTCATATGGATTTTTTTCTCAATGTAAGTAAAAAATATGTCCATGTGAAAGAAAGCTTTTATTTAAATTTAAAATATCATTTGCGAATTTTGAATGTTTGTATACTTTAGGTGTATAAATTGTCAGATTTAGACTCCACCAAAATTATTGGAAATGAATATTTTGACATTGGTCCCTAGATTTTCAGTAAGGTCTCCACTTTTTACATATAACTTTAATGTCATAGCATATTAATGATCTCCAACTGAGTAACATACATGCCATTTTTGGTAGATTATTTTTGGCAGTAATTATTGAATTTCCATTGCTGTTAGCAGAGCTCACTGTGTTTACACTGATGATAGCCATTCTTCAGGTAGAAGCTCCATTACTGTGATGTAAGTAAGGCCACATCTCCACTTGCCAGAGGTTCAATGCTCTGATGATTGATCTTCCAGGATTAGATTTAGCAGGTCTAGTAAAGACCTGTTGAATTGAATGCTGAGGGTGCCCCCAGCCAGCACCAGTACTCCTTGCTATTGCGAGGAGTAAGGGAGGTTGACAGAAGTGTTTCTCCCTTTGACATCCTGCTATGGGCCACCCTAGAAAATTGGCGCAATGTATGTCAACTCCAGCTACGCATTTCATGTAGCTGGAGTTGCGTACCTTGCATCGATTTTCATTGCCTGTGTAGACCTTGCCTAAGAAAACTGCTCTATTTGAGAGGAGTCCCATGCAACCTGCATTTGGATAGAACATAATCAGGTAAAATGTTGGACATTTTCTTTTGCTTTAACCCAGTATTTATTTGCTTATAATTTAGTATTGTAAGGAATATTGTGTAAACATGTGTTCTTGTTTTATATTTCTGTTTTTATAGTGGTGTGGTGGAATATGATGCAGAGGGCTTCACAAAGCTCACACTGTTACTGATGTGGAAAGATTTTTGCTTCCTTGTTCACAGTGAGTAGTTCTTTGCCTTTTTTCTTTTACAGGAAACAACAGCTTTGGCTATTCTTATTCAATGGCTATGTATTTTTTATGTGGCCATCACATTGTTGAAAACACAAAATTCTGACTGCGATTTGAGAATGAGGGATGATTTATGCAAATAGATCTGATTTTCTGATTTATAAAATTGCCAGATATATTCTGGGAAGGTGCTCCAGTAACTTGCCCCAAGGTTCTGGCAGCTGCAAATATTGGCAACCAGGCCATTAGTGTGCATAAACTAGGGATAACCAAATTAAGTCATCACTTACCATGAATCAAGAAATTTGTGGAACTTTCTAGATCAGAATAAAGTACACAGCCATAATGTTTCTTGTACATAGATTTTCTAAGGTAGATTAATAGAAGTTGTTGCTTTTTTCATTTCACACTCTAGAAAAATCTAAAGCTAATCACCTTGGTTGTCCTTATTTCAGAGAGGGGACAGCCACAAGCAAATTTTTAGGGCTATGTAGGCCATAGATAACCTTCAGTTATGTTTTTGGCATCCTTGATGCATACATTTTGAACTAAATTAGTAAATCAAAATAGAATTAGAACATGTAATGAGTTTGAAGAGCCTTGATCTTGGTCTGTATGAGGAAGAGATTTCTCATAGCAGGTACATCTTTAATCTAGAAGACAAAAATATAACCAGTTCCTATGGGACTGAGAACTAAAGCTTAGATAAAGTCAGACTAGAAATAAAGTGCATGTTTTTCACAGTTATGGTAATTAACCATTGGAACAACTTGCCTACGGATGTGGTGGACTATTCTTTTTGGTTGGTGATTTTTGTCATGATAGTAGAAAACCTAGTATTAGCCCTAATAAAAAATCAAAGAAGATAGGTTTCACATAAATCAAAATTCAAACTTCTCCTTAATGGTAGAGCAGTTTTTAATTGTTAAGTAAAATTCAGAGCTCTCTACTTAATGACTTTAGAGCCCTTGAGAGGTATGATTATAACTGAACAGCTTGTCACTATGAATTAGCTCCGTGGTCTTGCAAATTGTGCAGTAACTTATCTGTGCAAGTCATTGTATCACTTGCTTGTTGAATAAGCCACTGCATAATTTAAATAAGTTACATGTACTAAAGGATATTGCACAGAAAGCACCGAAACCTGCATTTCATTTCCTGAATGAAGTAATGTAGACTTTCATCTCTTAACCACTGAAATGACTGAATATATTATGGTTGAATATTTAGCAGCCTGTTAAATAAAATGTCTAGCACAGATAGATTTAAGTTGAAAAATGTTGTACTTCATGTATTTACTATATGGAAGAATTCTTCAAAGAATAAATAAAGTATAAGTCAGAAAAATGAGGAACTGTGCAAGGAACAAGATTCTTTATTAACATAGGTACCCTTGGTTTAGGCCAAAATGGCTTTGTTGCCTACATTTAGGCTACCCTATACACTCTAGCTGAGGTGATTTGCAACTCATGTAGACATATCCATGCTGACTGTCATCTAGCTAGCTCACTAAAAATAGCAGTGAGGTTTTGGTGGCACATTGTTCAGTGTGAGTTGCAAGTGGGTACATAGCATAAGTAGCCTTGAATTAAGTGAAAAAATAAAGGACAAACAGCAAAAGGTAAATTGAATTATAAAATAATAATACATGAATAAAGAATATCATACTTTAAATGCACTATTATTGTATCTTATTACAAAATATAGTTTCTCTGTTGACTCAACTCCAGGTTTTTGTCCCTTCTGGAAACCCCATCTACACATCAAAACAGTTTCATATGATGAAAAGTACAGTATTATTCAGTACTCGTGGAATAAAGAGTAAAGTAAGGGATGTGTTTACAGCTTGTGTTACAATATAGGAGACGTATCTAATTTCAGGCTTTAGCAACATTGAGTCCATCAAAGTATGGTCACAGGAACTGTTGTTTTAGTGGCTTAGTTCTAAGAGTTAATTGAGTGTTTTCAGATACGTAATATAACAGAAGACGTGAACATTCAGAGAAAGTTCATGTTTCTTCACTGGGGAGAGGAAGTCATTAACCACTGTTAATATTAGTGGTGGTGAAGTTGAAGAGTAACTTCACCTTCATTTGTGTTTGTGCAATCATAGGCCTCTATTGCCTTTGCTAATATTTTATACCACTGATGTTTTTTCTTTAGCTTTGTGAATAAGATGATTCATTTTCAGAGACTTAAGGGGTCTTTCTTTCTTTGACTATGTCCATATGCTTCATAATGCAGATTTAATAGGTGTATGTCCAAGATTGCATAAACCTCTAGAAGTGAACACAAAATAAGAATGTGTTGAGTAGTTTATGAACAAGTTTTTTGGAAACTTGATATTTACTGTAATTGTGTGTTTAGCATCTCAGCACAAATGAGATTGGTAGAAGAATGAAGGATTGGAAATAGTAATAAAAGTATTAGTGATGAATTAGTGGTTGTTTTGCTTCTTGTTCTTACAGTGGGGGACTTGGAAGGATATATGTTTAAGTGGAAAGGTCTTGCTTCTCTGCTACATATATATGCTCTTATACCAACAAGCATGGCAGCTTCCTCCAAGTATGTTGGCAGCTTTCAGCAAATGTATCTTCTGGGGGCACTCACAGACCTTTTTGAAACTAATGGGCCCATCTCACTCTGGCAAAACGGAAAAAGCAATTAAGCTCCTTTACATAGTAAAGTAGCTGAAGCACTAGAAGCTGTCACCTAAAGCACTGGCAAAATGAAAGGCATAAGCAAAGAATGAACTTGGTAAGAATGACAGGGTTTTACTGATTGAAAAACCAGAGGTGGGGATATTAATTTGATTTTAGCTGTGTGTATTAGAAGAAGAAAGCCAAAAAAAAGTAAGGGCAAAGCCAGAGAAACACAGGTAGCATGACCATAAGAGAGAGGGATTGCTTTGGGCAGAGTTCTGTCTGAAAGGGAGGCTAACAGTCATCGAGGAAATTGCCTGCTCTGTTTGTTCCTACTTGCACTCACAGAAATAGGTATTTGTGTCCATGTTTTGTAAATAAACAGGATTGCACAAAATAAATATCTGAGTTTACCATCAATTTCTCTTGATATTGGAAACATCCTGCAAGGTCTCAAATATTGGCCAATCATTCAAGCCAAAAAAAGGAAAGCTGTAATACTGTTTTGTATCTGGTCATGTTTTGGTCTAGCTGGCTTTCTTAAGAAAATTCTGTTATTTTAGCTTGGAAAAATTCTGTTATTTTAACCAAGTACACAGTAATATAGGAAGCAAAGTAGAGGAGGAGGATGTGATGCACTTTGGTTAAGAGAAGGGGAAAGTAGGCCACAAAAACAATTTTTCAAAAGTAAGAAATTCTGTACAGAGATACAAGTCAAGAAGTCTTCTAAAGTTGTCATAGAAAGTCTTTCTGCTATTGGTGATAGCTAGTCAGGAAAAGCTGGAGCTTTTCAAAGGCCACACTTGGAAAGCTGAGGCAAACAGTGGTTCCAAGTGGCCACTAGTATTAGTTCTTGGGAGTGATTTCTTGACAGTGGAATAGGTAAAGAAAGGACAAGCTGAGAAACCCATATCCCTTCTCTGGCTCACTGCCATTTGTTCCCAGGAATGTTTATTCCTTGGCATCTGATCCTGAGCACCTGCCACTCTTCTTGAGTGATATTCACCCTTGTGTACAGAATCTCTGCACCAAGCTTATGCACTAAGTCCCACATTGGTCCTCAAAATAAGGTTTGTTGAATTTGTCTTCTACCTAGGCCTTGAGCATAGGTCTGAATGTCATCCATTGAGTTCATTGGGAATTGCAAGTACTCCCCACGTCTGAAGATCAGGCACTATGGTGGGAAGTTGTTATGGTGATGGTACTAGTAGCAGAAGCAGGCTTTTGTTTTTGTTTTGTTTTATTTTCTAAAACGTCACTTTCCATTAAGGATGTTAATGTATAGTCATTTAAATGATTGACCAATAAGCCTGGGCTTATTGGTTAATCCAAATGACTACACACACACTTCCCCTGCTGCCTCTGTATCAGAAGCAGCAAGAGGGGGAGGCAGGTGCTGGTTCCCATGGAGCTGCCTCTCACAGGGGGCAGGCGGGAGCCAGTGCTTGGGGGAAGCCAGCTTAAAAGCCAGCTCTCCCACTAGTACCAGATCCCACAGAGCCACCTGTCCCTTCACCCCCCCACAATGCTGCCTCTGATAGGGGGTCAGGTGGGAGCTAGTACATGTGGGAACCTGGCTTTTAAGCCAGCTCTCTGCAGCTATTGGCTCATGTGGAGCCATCTGCCCCCCTGCACTGTTGCCTCTTTATCAGAGGCAGCAGTGCAGGGTGGGCAGGCGGGAGCCAGTCTGCACAATTTTAAACCAGCTCCCTTCACCGACCAGCTCTGCCTGCCACCCCATGCTGCTGCCTCTGATACAGGCTTCCTGGGAGTGGGGGAGTATTTTAGTAACTGTGTTACAAATAAAGTGTGTGTGGCTACATAGTTACTAAAATAAACATTATCTAACATCCCTAGTTTCTATTGATAGAGTCTGTAGTTTCAAGGAAACGTATGTATGGTTTGTATTTTTTTAAGTTTTTCATGTTTTTATAATATTGCTCTGGATACTTTAAAGCTCATGATTTAGTATTGCTTCATCTTTTTTTAAATGGAAACTACAAGCTCTTTAACAAATGGATAGAAAAGTCATTAACTTTCACAGTAGCTTCTTTTATTCTGAAAAGTGACAATAAAGGAATGTCATCTGTTCATTAGTCTGTCTAGGCCACTATTACCAGAATGTCCAGATATCTTGCAAACATTAATGGATGTATTCTCTAAAATAAGGAAGATGTATTATCCCTACTTTACAAATGAGGAACTAGGAGACAGAGATTAAGTGGTTTCCCCAAGGATACATAGGAAATATGTGACAGAATTGATAATTAAATACTGATTTTTGGAATCCCAGTTCAGTTCTTAAACTTCAAGACTAGTGTAGTGTTCCCTCTAAGCTGAGCAGCAGCA